GAAAGTCACTCCTTCTTATTAATAATAAATTTCAGCTCTCTATCCCTCCTGAAAGAAAGGTCATGGTTGGCTAGAACCATAACTTCCCATTATAGCCTCCCTCCCTGCCTTCATCCACTCTCCCTTTTCCTCTATACAGACCCCTCCCTTAATGAGCCCTTGGAGGGAGTGAGAAAACAGGCTTCATCAATTTCCCTAATGGCTCTTTCAGAAAGCTTTTTTTAAAAGAACTTTATATTTTTAGATCTTTTCAAACAATGTACCTATTAGAAGGATGGCAAAGGCCTTGTGGGATTTAGGGAAGCTTTCATTAAGAAAGATTGGGAATGATTTCAAGGTCAGTGTCAAGTGTCTTCAAAGAGCTTGACTTCAGAGCTACAGAATGAGCAGCAAGTCTCCCTCCACAGTTAACCACACTGAGAGTAGGTTCCCAAGACCTGGTGGTTTGAATGAGAATGACCCCTTATGTTCATAAATTTAAATTCTTGGTCCTTAGTTGGTAGATTTGAGGAATTATGAGGTGTGGCCTCCTTGGAGTGGGTGTGATCTTGAAGGAAATGTGTCTCCAGGGGTGACCTTTGGGGTTACAAGAACCTATACTAAACCCAATCTCTCTCTCCATCTCTCTCTCTACCCCTCCCCCCCTCTCTGCCCTCCACTTGTGCATCAGATGTAAGCTCTCAGCTCAAACAATGTTCCTCACCATGATGGTCATAAACTCATTCGCAGAAACCGTAAACCAGCCCCCAATCACAAGCCTTTCTTTATAAATTACATTGGTCATAATGTGTCTTCACAGCAATAGAAAAATAGCTAAGACAGGAGGAGAGAAGCTTGTCTGACTGGCCAGTCTTATATTAGACTCCTGATACTGATGGTCTCAGGTTCAAATACAGATTACTGTGAACTCTCAATACAGTGTTGTTTCATGGTTGTTTCTTCCATGTGTTATGAGAAGGATAGAGGACAATTTGAAGGAACCCAATTTCTTTTTCCACCTTGTAGGTCCCAGAGTTTGAAACCAACCTTAGCAGCCTTGACTCACTAAGTCATCTTACTGGGTTTTTTAAATGAATATTAAAAGTAGACAGTTATTCCAACAATTTCTGAAAAGGCTCTTTCTGTACTTCTGTTGCTTTATATTTTATATTGATGTGAATTAGTGTCCTCAGCACTAATTATTGCAAAATGGAAATATCATCAACTCTTAAAAAACAAAAACAAATTAGAGATGCTCTATGCCCTTTATTGTCAAATATTCATCCAAGATTCAATTCTTCATATAAAAATACTGTTAAATAATATAAAACAGGTAGAAATTATCTGTAAATAAAATCGAGCCTTTCTCTATTGTGTATTCAACAACCAGTGACTACACTATCACTCTATAACAACTGAGAACCTTCTAGTGGAGTCCATTCAGATGGACAGGACTCCATCTCTGATGAGAACTATCCAACTTTTATTGTTTCTTAGATTTCACCTCTGTATTTCTTGGACATTCATATTATCTAATTTTGTTGTTATTGTTGTTTCTATGACAAAATACCCAACAAAAGCAACTTAATAGTGTAAAATTTTATTTTGTTCCATAGTTCTATGATACAGTGCACCATGCACGGGAAGCCATTATAGCAGCAGAGCAGGAGGCAGCTGCTCTCAGTGTATCCAGTCAGGAGCCAGTGAGATAAATATCGATGGTCAACTTCCTTTCTTCATTTTATTAAGTCTGGAAAACCAACCTTTGAAAAGGTGAACCCCAAAGTTAGAGTGGATGATGTAGGATTTTCCTCTTTATGCTGTGAATAGGTTTTTGATTAATAAAAAAAAGCTGTTTTGTCCTATGAGAGGGCAGAATATAGCCAGGCTGGAAGAGATATATATAGAGAGAGAGTAGGCAGAGAGAGGGAGACACCATGTAGCTACTGAAGGAAAAAGATGCCAGGCCAGAACCTTACCGGTAAACTACAGTTTCTTGATAGTACATAGATGAAGAGAAATGGGTTAATTTAAGTTATATCAGCTAACTAACAATATGCCTAAGCAATTGACCAAGCAGTGTTGTAATTAATATAATTTCTATGTGATTATATGGGTCTGAGTGGTCAGGAAATGAGCCTACACACACAGATACACACACACACACACAAAGAAACACACACTTATGCATGTGCAACATGAGCACACCTTCACAATCATTCCCGTAGTGATTCCAAATCAAATAATGTTGATAATCAAGATTAATTACCATGACATCTAATAGGCTTCTTTCATTAGTACCTATTTAAGTCAGTTTGGGCAGTGATAGAATTACCACAGTGCTGTTATACACAGATCTCTTTCATTCATTGTTCTGAGAAGTTATGAGCCCAAGATTTCATGGTACTGGCACATTCACTTCCTGTGGAGGGTCACTACTTGGCTTGCTAATGACTGGACACCTTCACCTTCTCACGTGGTCTTTTCTCCCTGTAAAAGGAGGGTAAGATGGAGAGTGTGATGGCTCTTCTTGGTTGTCAACTGGACTACATCTGGAATTTAATGAAATCCAAGTGACTGGGCATACCTGTGAGAGACTTTTCTTAATTAAATAATTTAAAGTACAAAGACTCACCTTTACTCTGGATCTTTAAGGTGGAAAGATTTAGTTTTAATTTGGGTAATACCGTCAGCTGACAGCAATGCAAAAGACACAAACAAAGAAGCTTTACCTCATTCCGGGGGCAAATCCATTCCTTCATTAGAATTGGAGTCTCTGTCTTCAGGATTCTAGTGTATACTGAGATACCCAGGAATGTGGACTGAACAGCTACTGGATTCTTGGACTTTCCTCTGGTAGATAGCCATTGTTGGAGTAGCTAATCTACAACCTGTAAAATTTTCTAATAAATCTGATACTCTCTCTCTCTCTCTCTCTCTTTCTCTCTCTCTCTCTCTTTCTCTCTCTCTCTCTCTTCCTCTCTTATTCTATCAGTTCTATTCTTTTAGAAAACCCCAAACAATACAGATTGAAAAATTGACAAATGACAGAGACACTCAGAAAGTGGGAGAGGGAGAAAGAGAGTGAGAGAATTTAAGAAACTTAAAATGTCTCTCCTTTCATAAGACAGCTGTTATGTAAGATTGTGTCCCTTTTGTTAGAATTTAACTTAACATTAGTTTCCTGCTAAATGTTCTATCTCAGTTTATGATTGCTTTGGGGAGTTAGAATCCTCAAATATATGATCCTTCTGCCTCTCTATTTCTAGTACTAAAATGACAGATATACTGACCCATGTCTGACTCCACATTTGATTTTGAGGAAAGCATAGTTCAATCCACAGCACAGCCTTCTTATAAAGCTTAACTGTCAGCTTCTCTGTTTTTGTTACTCTTATACCAAAACAAACTCTTTATGTGACCCTGGGACAGTCCCAAGTGAATTCATTCTATTGACCTGTGTTAAAATGAGGGCGTTACCTGAGGTTTTAGACTCAATAGAACACGATGTCTGCTCCTTCAAAGACAACTAGGACAGAGAAACCTTCAACAGTGAGAGTGGGGCCCGGCCAATAGCGGAGTTGATAAAGTACTTGCCTGGAATGCATGAGGATCTGAGTTAGCCTCCAGAAGCTCTACAAAGAGCAGGTTCCAGTGCTGCATGCATGCTGCACACTTACAGTCCAGGTGGTGGGAAGAGGCGATGAACAGACCCACCCTGCACCAACTCACTGGCCAGGCAGCCTACATTGCAAGTTCTAGGCCAGTAAGAGACTTGCTTCAAAAAACAATGTGAACAGGAGCTAACACCCAAGGTTGATCTCTGCCCTCCATATGCGCATTCACACACACACACACACACACACACACACACACACACACACACACACGAGGGGTAAAGGAGAAGGAGCAGAGAGGAAGAGAGTGTTGAGAACAGTATAGTATTAGATGATAAAATTAGGTGATGTTTTTATAGGGCGCAGGGAGGAAGATATTCATTCAGGACTGCAGAGAAGATCCCAGGTGTATTATTAAATAGAGATATGAATGAGAAAAGAAAGCAAGAAGCACTTGGGGCAAAAAATGACGAGGAAACTTTAGACAATCCAACAACTGCAGAAGCTGAGTACGAACTATTTAGCTAAGTGTAGCATAAACTTGGCATTCAAAAGGGGGCTACTGTATATTTCTTCCAAAGCAACAGCTTCTTTGTCCTTGAAAACATCAAATATATGTGAACTATAAAGTATAGCACTTAAAATAAGAGATGTACTGGATACATATGAAATTGGAGTAAAAGTGAGTTTTGCTGGTGAGCATGAATTTAGTACTTTGAGTGCTTGTCATAAGTCCTTTTAAAAGCTACTTGTGTCCTGCATGGGCCAAAAATCACTGTGTTCACGTGTTACTCAGCAAAGATAATTACTCATTGTTTTTCAGTTAACGCTGTGTCATTATTGATATGCGATAGTCACTCCGACTTATTCATTTGATTTATACCACAAATAGAATAGGGGGTGATGACATTCCTTTACTATACTCTTAAACACCAGACAGGCCTGACTGAAAAATTCCTTGAAGTTACTATTTTAGGCAGGTGGTCATTAAATATATTATGATAAGGAATAGCAAAATTTCTAGAATTTTCTTTACCAAGACAGCAAGTTCTCTTCTCAAAGCCTAAATGCATATATTTGAAGATAATTTGGTATTCAGTTGGCATTGTGACAAGTGAAGTCTGCCAACAAAAGTGTGAAGCAGCAGCAATTGAATGAAAGCAAGAATCCGAGTTTCCCCTCCCACCCTCCCTCCCTCCCTCCCTTCTTCCCTCCCTCCCTTCCTCCCTCCCTTCCTCCCTCCTTCATTCCCTCACTCTTCACTTTCTTTCCTTCTCTTTTTCCTTCCTTCCTTCCCTCCCACCCTCCCTTCTATTCTCCCTCTCTCCCTGCCTCCTTCCCTCCTCCTTTCCCTCTCATTCTCCCTTCTTCCTCCCTCCCTTCTTCATTCTTTCCTTCCTTCTCTCCCTCTTTCCTGTCTTTTCTCCCCTTTCTTTCCATTCCTTTCCCCATTTTCCTTCTTGTTTTCTCTTTTTAAGAGGTCACGTATAAGCCAGGATGACCTGGATCTCATTATGTTTAATTTTTGATCCCTCTGTTTTCACTTCCTGAATTCTGAGGTAGAAGTATGCCACAAACTCTGGGTTTGTGCAAAGCTAAAGACGGAATTGAACACTGTACCATGCTGTACCAACACTATACCAGCCAAGCTCCATTTTAGTCTTAAGATTGTATTTTCTTGGCATAATTTCCCAGAGACTCCAGATTCAGCATCTATGTCCCTACCTCTTTCTTCACTCTCCTTTAGGTGCATTTATTTCTGTCTCTTCTACTAAAGAAAAGTAAAAGAAAGACTTTACTCTGTTCTCATAACCTTTAAAGCCTTGTTATTTATCCAGAATTTTACCTGTGATACTGCCTGGAATATTCTCCTTGTGTCTCTATAGCCTTATTACAAATTCTTGCAAACACTCCAGGAAGCTTAGCTCCCAAAGAGCAATTTAAAGTGCAGTAAAACTATGGTACAGACAGAAGGTATAATGGAGGTAGGAGGGACAGGGAAGATTTCAGCTCTAGACCCTTCCTTCTGTCCATTCGTATGAGCTACTTTTTACACTGCTGTGACCTAAGCAACTTCAAGAAGGAAGGGCAAATTTTGTCTGATATATATTTTTTTTTAGTTACAGTCATTCTATCATTGCAAGACCGGCATATGGATAGCAGGATCTTGAGGCAGCTGATCACTTTACATCCATAATGAGGATGAAGAGAAAGATGCAATTGATGCTAAACTCATTTTCTTTTTTCTTTTCATCATTCTGGTACCCCACCCTAAGGAACAATTCTGCCCACAGTCTCAGGTCTTCTTAATTAACACAATCCAGAAACTCCCTTCATGGGTATCCCAGGTGGTTTGTTTTCTTGGGGATCCTAAATTTTGTTAAGTTGACAATCAAGATTAACCTATCAAAGCCTTAAATTGGTAATGCTTGTCTATGGCACCAAGACTCTCCCTGAGGATAAACAACAGTCATTTCCTATTCAATGCCGGTGGAGTTTAGAAGACTTGACAACTTTTCTCAGTAGCTGCAGACTCAGGAGTACAGTGGGTGGATAATTTATTTGTAGATAGCTGAGGTGTCCATTTTCCAAGTATTGGAGTCACAAGAGGGACTAGGCTACTGATGTTTTTACAGAACATTCAGAAGGGAAGACCTGGAGTAGGGGGGAAAGTATTTTGCCCCTTCATCTTCATCTCCGAGAAGTAGTATTTCCATGCATCCCATCCATCGTTTCTGTACTCTTCAACCTGCAGTTTCCTGGTGTTAGGTGGAAGGAAACATGCAGTTCGAGCTGGAAAGCATCTTGCCAAAGCTCGGCAGAACAGCCATCTTTCCTGGATTTATAGGATCTTGTTTCTGCCTCCATCTGAGAGGCTCATATTTTGTCTTTGGTTGCAGGTGCAAAGCTGAGCAGATTCATGGTTGTAGCTGAGAAGACACACAGAGGCACACACTGTGCGAATTATTTTCATGTGGATAATATACTTAGGGGGCCTCGACTTGATCATGCCAGGCTTATCCTGAACTGAGCCTGGGAATTCCATTTTGATTTTTAAAATTAACTTATTTATGTGTTTCTGTTTTTATCCATATATGTTCACTACTCACAATGTTGAATGAATTTTAAGAAACAAATATCATCCATAATGTCACCAACAATATTAAAAGCTTTAAAAGCACCTATGTAGGCATCTATCCAATATCCAAGCATCCGTTTGTTATTGTATAATCTAGCATTTAAGCAGCTGTTGTTAGAAAGTGTTGCCATCTATTTATAGTAAATACATATGGCATTGTTTGGGGAATTCTTTTACTTTGACAATATATACTTTTATTTGTGACAACATACACAATATCAGCTGTCTGTGGTGTGTGTGTTGTCCAGACATGTGAGACTGCATGGACTCATAGTACACATGTGGAGGGTAGAGAAGGCCACTGAGTGTATTTGTCGGTTACTCTCTACCACACTTTTGGAGACTGGATTTTCTGTTGAGCCTGCCACTCCTCATTGTGTCTCTGTTGGTTTGGCCAGCAGCTCAGAAAAGCCATTCTTTTTCTTGCCCCCTCAGTGCAGGGATGGCAAGCACAGACATGACCATGCCAGCTTACTACTTAGGGATGTGAACCCAAGACTTTATGCTTGAACAGAGAGTGTTTGTATCACAGAGCCATTTTGATATTAGAGGAAATTTACTGGGATGTCAATGGATGTGTTCATAAACGACCTGGGTGGAATAAGCAAGCATGCGGATTGGTTTTAATTTCTATTTCGGTGCTGATATACCTCTGTCATTAGAGGAAAGCTTTCTTACGGTGTATGTATAATTCGGGCTTGAGAGTGAGCTCTGTAAACATCTGCCCCTGCAGTTTTCAAAGGACTCCATGTAGCTGCCTCAGGGTTACTTTGGATTGAGGAGGAAGACAACTTAGGATGCGCCTTCTGGGGCTCCTCTACTTCTCTTTTTATAAATACTGTCAACTTTCACAGGGTGACATTTTTATTTTACTGTACTTATTTATTTTGAGTTTAAAGGTTCTCAGGCCTTCAAAATATCTTTGCAAAATGCTGATCTTTGTGCAGCATCTCAATAGAGTGCTCGCCTCTCCTCTAGCTGGCCTTGCAGGTCTCCCGAATATTCTGTGAGGTCTGTCCAACTCTCTGCTGATTCTCCATTCTGGAGGCTGATGTGGCACAGGAGGAAGAATGTCAGAGGATGGTTGCTGACATCAGCCTTGGCCTTCACATACACATGCATCCGCATGCTTTTATAAGTATATACACACACACATACACACACACAAGTGTATGCACACATGTACACCATACACATTAAAAATTAAAAAAGGCCTTATTTCAACTCATACTTTTGGAGAGTTTAATACATGACCCATGTGTCACCTTTATTTGGGGGCCAGTGGTGAAGCAACACATTATGATGGGGACGCCTGAAAACAACAACAAAACCACTGAGCTCATGACATGATGAAAGAGGAGAGGGGAAGGGAGTGCTGAATTTCCGTATTCTCTTCATGGACATACCCTGACACCAAAGACTGTCTGCTAGTCCCAAGATCTTAAAGGTTCTACCACCTCCCCAAAGAGCCAAAGTACTGACAAAATCTATAAAAAGAGAGCTTCTGGGGGCGTTCAAGATCCAAAGTATGGCAACTCACAACCCAGAAAAAAGCAGTTGACGTTAGAAGACACACATGTAACTCAAAGTGGAATCAAATGGTTTGTTTGCTTTTATATATCATTGGTGACACAGGACTTAAGTGTCCCTTGTCCTCTGTAGCAGGATGGGGCAATTGATAGGGTTGAAATGACTACTATGACAGTGCTGGGGCAAGAAAAATAAAAACCAGACAGGCCTCTACTGTTAGGTAGATGAGCCAATTTAGTGTGCTAGAAAAAGACAAACTTTTCCTCCTCCTTCATAAAGATCAAGACAGGTTGTCCAGAGACAGTTTTATTTATTTATTTAATACAGATTTATGTGACATGAAAGACTTCAAAAACTCCTTGGGAAAGGAGCTTATTTTGATGCTTTTAGCTTAAGTGAAGTACAGTCAGGCACACAGAAATAAGAAATAGTGTGATCTAACCCTGTAGTCAGAGCCTGGCAACCTGAGCAAGCCAAGTTTGGCCGTATGTCCTCAGTAAGCCAATTAAAAGAATAAGTCACAGAGAAACGAACAAAAAAAGAATACTGATCTAACATGGCTACCCTGGGGAGATGGAGAGAGAGGTACAGTGATCCCCCCTAAGTTACAGTGGGATAGTGACACAAGGTCTGGATTTAAGTTGAGAGTCAGAGGAACACATAGCTAAGAAGTCCTGATCCTTCTGTGGGATGTGGTCCAGCCCATCATCTTTGTTAGGACAGGTCTTCTCTGAAAGGAAGTCTGGTAAGTTACCAGAACTGTGAAAAAAATTTTCAGGACACTGGCTACTCCTGCAGCTGGTACCAGGGCATCACCCATTTCATTTCCCCAATTTCTTAGTGACGATTGTCTCCATAACCTGTTAGTCAAAGGGTCCCCAATTATTTCTAGAATACCTTCATTCCTGCCGGCATGGTTACACAAACAACAGCAGACTAAGGAGGGAGCTCTTCAGACATGCTGAAAGATCCAGTTAGTGATCCCTCCTCCCACACAAGGCACCAGGACCTTTCTGCAGTGGCGGTTTTCCTGTGAAAACGGGGATACAAAGCTTTCCAGGCTGTTCCTTACTTTGGGGCAATGAAGTTCTCTTTTCTATGAAGCTCTAGAGGAAGAGTCCTGTGGTTCATTTTCCTCACTTTAGAAAAGTTAGAGGACAGGATGGCAAAAGATCTAAAGGGATCGGAAAGAGCTCTGGAGTCAGCTGTTTCGTAACTTCCTCTGTTCAAAACACTCAGTACACCAAGGAACTCTAATTGGAGGCATTGTGTTCTAAGCATCAAGAACATTTAACTTTAAGCAATGTGAAAGTAGGAACAACTTTAAACACACTTCTATTCAAGCTCAAAGGTGGCATAAGGGGTCAGAGATCCCTCAAATTAGGGCAAGATCTGTCTCACAGTGCAAATGCCAACCACAGACCAGGAAATATTAGGATAGTGCTACTGCTCTCTGCTCCAAGACTGGTTTCAGTATTAGCAAAAAACGTAAAAAAATCCTACAAGGTAATTGCTGAAGCTGTTCATGAAGAGTTAGGAGAGTAGCCTCTTATTTACTGTTACATCTATGAAACTGCCTGAGAATAAGAACCATTTTCTTAAAAACATGGGTCAGCATCCCAGCCATTTTACCTTGTGTTCTGAGAGTCTCATGATACATGGCTAGTTTGTGTCTTAAGCCTTATCCCCCAGAGTCTCTGATTATGTGGCTGACACCAGCAAGCATCGCAAATCCTTCTCCTCTGACTTGCACATATGACCAGTTCAACCTTCCTTGTGTAATTCCAGTTCTACCTCTGTAATTTCAGGACTCAAAGACATTTGATGTTACTCATCTTCCCTCGGACAACCCAATGCCCCTTTCCCTGGAAAGAGCAGGCATTTTCCCTCTTGTCTCAGCTGCTTTTCTCTCTGCTGTGAAGAAATACCAGAGATGAACATTTTTAAAGGGAGGGTTTATTTTAGCTCACAGTTTGAAGGTGCAGTCCATCATGGTGGAAGTCATGGCAGCAGGAGCTTGCAATAACTATCACAGTGTATCCATAAGCAAGAAGCCGGATGCTGGATTCCTTTGTTCTGTCCCACCTGGTTACTTTATACCTGAAATAACCACACAGAAATTGTATTAATTAAATTACTGCCTGGTCCATTATCTCTAGCCTCTTATTGGCTAACTCTCACATCTTAATTCAACCCATTTCTATTAATCTGTATATCACCATGAGGTCATGGCTTACCGAGAAACATTCAGCATGTCTGACCTGGCAGCTCCATTGCAGCTCTCCCTCTGCTTTCTTCTTTACAGAATTCAGTTCTGTCTTCCCACCTACTTAAGTTCTGACCTATCACCAGGCTCAAAGCAGTTTCTTTATTAAGCAATGAAAGCAACACAAATAGAGAAGGACCTCCTACACCAGTTCCCTTTCTCCTTTTTGTACTCCAGGAACCCAGCCCATGGATTGGTGCTGCGCACAGGCAGGGTGGGCCTTCCAATCTCAGTTAATGTCCTCTGGATGATCCTTTATAGACATGCATGGAGGTTTGTCTCCTGTGTGATTCTTGGTGCTACCAAGTCGTAAACAATCCCTTCTTCCTCTCACACATCTTCATGACCACACACAAGTTCCTAAAACAGTTTTCACATGTTCTATACAGAATGTCTGTCCTACCTTCTTAACTATGTACCACCTACCTCATAAGAGGATGGATATGTTATATGTGCCTTCTTTCTTTCTTTCTTTCTTTCTTTCTTTCTTTCTTTCTTTCTTTCTTTCTCTTTTTAAAACTCTTCTCTGATTGGGAGCCCAACACTCAGCTATCAAAGAATGACACAGAGATTTACTTTTACTTATAAATAGACAACCTTAGCTTGGCTTACTTCTATCCAGCTTTTTTTTTCCTTTAACTTAAATTATCCCAACTACCTTTGACTTCTGGGCTTTTATCTTTCTATATTTCTGTATATCTTTTCTTTCCTTCCTATTTCATGTCCAACTGTGAGACTGGCCTCCAGCATCCCCCTCTCCTCCTTTTCTTGCTCCTCCCTCTCTTTTTGTCTTATTTATCTTCTCTGCTTGTCAGCCCCACCTATACCTCTTCTTCCTAGCTATTTGTTGTTCAGCTCTTTATTAGTCCAATCAGTTGTTTGGGGCAGACAAAGTAACACAGATTCACAGAGCTAAACAAATGCAACATAAAAAAAATGGACCACATCTTTAATGCATCATTGAACAAATAGTCCACAGCTTAAACAAATGTAACACATCTTCAACTAGTATTCTACAACAGCTATATGAATATATAGAGCTGGTTTCTCTTCAGATTGTATAAATGTTTTAAATTTTGCTAAAGATTTCCAAGGAGAGATTACGGTATAATGTTCATTTTCCTCTGTGTCACTGGTAACATGGCACACTGCATAACCAACTTAAATTTGTTGAATGAAAGACAAGATACCTAATGTATCCTTACTCAGTTACTAATTCCCTAATTTTTAATACTTTTCCTTGTTAACAAACATACTTATTTATTAGTAAGCTCAAATCAGATAAATAGTCTTTGCTTGAGGAATTTTCAGTGCATTGAGATGGCAAATGAGAAAATGGGCACAAACAACTAGTTTTCTACACAATAATAAGAGAATGAAGAGTTTCTCAATTTCCAGTGCAAAGTATGAAAAGCTCTTTTCTTTCTCCGCACCATTCCATTTCATGAAGAAAATAAAGGGCTGAGGATATAGCTCAGTTGGTATAGTATTTGTCTAGCCTGAAGGTTACTATCCAACACTGTATAGACATAGTGGCTCACAATTGTAATGCCAGCACTCTGAAGGAAACGGCAGGAGGAACAAAAGTACAAAGTCATCTCAAGCTCCATAAACTGTTTGAAGCTACCCTGGGTTAGGTGCCATGACATCCTATTGTCTCAAAAAAGATTGTGCTAAACTGAAAACAAACAGACAATCAAAAAATTGATGCCCCACCTGCAAAAGAAATTAACAACAACAATAACAAAATAAACTGAAAAATTCAGACCAGAACAGTTTAAAAATAGGTATGCAATCTCATGTTTCAGCTTATTTTAGTCTATAGAAAATGCTTGCTCAGACTAATGTTACTTATTTCATTAATACTGTGTTTATCAGTGAGGTAAATGCGAGTATGTATGTATATGTTACGGGTGTCCTTTTAAAAGACTGTATGCCTATTTTTCTTTTATCATTGTACATACATAATTTCAAAATTTCACTTAGATCATATTTATACTTGAGTTCACAAATGTTCAACTAACTCAGCACTGTGGAGCAATGAACCAGATAACCATTTCTTTGATTCTGAATTCCTAAAGTCTACCATGCTAGCACCCTTCTCCCAAGTTGTAGTAATCACTAATATCTACAGGTATTGTAATATATCCCCATGAGGAAAACAGCCAAATTCAGTCTCAAGTTAAGCACACACTGGCACAGAAGTTCAAAGATAGGGTCTTAGGGAAGTGCTCGTATAATTTCACTGATCAACAGCAATAAAGCAAAAGTTGGAAATAGGAATTTTGAATATTTATTGTTTCATCCATCTAGAGCCAATAACTCCCTTTCGCTATTTCCTTCTAAGCAGTATAGCAATCTGTTCTTTAAATAGTTACACAATCTTCCATATGCAGAAATGTTAATCAAAGTTCTTGCTACTCCTTCCTTTTGAATATCAATGCTGGCTTGTTTTCCTCTAGACACAGAACTACAGAGGACCCTGACAGCCCTGCCACACCCCTTGCCACTTCACTTTCATATCTGTGACTCTCACTGAAATTTCTACACCACTGTGTGGAAATATACAGTTCATGGATTTGAGTATTGATAGGTGTTTAATCTGAGACAGAAAACAGCCACACATTCTCCACACAGTATGAATGTGTACCCCCAGCCCCCTTTTCCTACTTGTTTAATAGCAGTTATTGCAAGGCATTAGTTTATTTTAGATACTGAGTCTCATGTAGCCCAGGTAGGCTTCATACTACATAGCTGAGGTCAGTTTTGAACTCCACATCTTTCTGCCTCTACCTCCAAAATACAGGGCTTTAGCTATATACCACCACACCAGTTTATATGGTGTTGGTGATGAACCCAAGTCTTCATGCATGCTAGGCAAACACTTGATAGAACTATGTCTCTAAATCCTGCTCTAGCTTTTTGTTGTTTTAATTTTAATTTTTAATTATGTGTGTCTGTCTGTGCAGTGTGTACACTTGAGTTCTGGTGCCCATGGAGGACAGAAAAGGATATTTCTGTGCAAGGGAAGACTTGCTCTAAATCACAGACATTGTGTTAACTACATTCTAGGTTGCTGAGACAAAAATCCCTGACAAGAAGCAACTTAAGAGAGTGTCTTAGTCATCAGTCAGGGAGTGTCTTAGCAGTGCTCTAATGCTGTGAACTGACACCATGACCATGGCAACTCATGTTAAAAAAGGCATTTAATTGGGTCTTACTTACAGTTTCAGAGTTTGGTCCGTGATCATCATAGCAGGGAACATGGCTGGATGTGGATGTGTAATGATGTAGTTGTAGCTAAGGACTTTACATCACAAACTACAGAGAGAGAGAGAGAGNAGAGAGAGAGAGAGAGAGAGAGAGAGAGAGAGAGAGAGAGAGAGAGAGAGAGAGAGAGGAAGGAGAGAGAGATTGGACAGGGTTCCAGCCACACACCTATTTCTACAAGCCTATACCACCTAATCCTGATTCTATTGAACATTTTCACTCCCTGGTGACTAAGCATTCAAATGTGGAAGCCTCTGGGGCCCATTCTTATTCAAATCGCTTCAGGAAATAAAGGTTTGCTTTGAAGTTCCAGGAGACATAGCATGCCATGACAGGGAAGATATGGTGGCTTGTCATATTATGCACTTATGCACAGACGAAATGTGTCTGATGACACATTAAGTCTCTTTAGTATTCAGGAATGTTCCATGATGTATACTGAGATAAACTGTGAAACAAAACACTGTTTTGGCTTAAGGGAAAATGGACTCTTCTCTTCCTGAAGGGAGTCGGTTGAGCCAGGACTAAGACAACAGTCACTCTGGAATTCTCATATCTTCTACATTTACTCTTATCTGCTCTTCGGAGAAAAAGCTGCAGGAGCTGGCTTACCATGCAACTGGGTAGAAGAGATGTGTACTGGACTTCCCAGGGTACCTGCTGTACTTGACAGGTCCCAGAGCAAAGGGTTACATGAAAAACGTATGGAAACAGCTTATTTATAAATAAGAAGGCAAGTGGGGCTAGAGAGATGGGGAAAGTCCAAGGCTAACATGCTGTGGGCCTTGAGACACGTGATCATTCCCTCAGGACATTTACATGCACTGAGCTCTCCTTCTCTGATATTTGAGGACCAAGTTCTCTTCCTTGTGGCTGGATGGGGGTGGAATGTTCCTTCTCCTCTGTCACTGGTTTCTTGCTTCTTTTGATCCTGATGATGCTTTATTTCAGTTCTGATTCCTGCCATGAAGTTGAAGGGGAAAGTCAGTATTGGAGCTAGTGATGAAGGAAAGAACAAGAACTTTTATCTTGTATGTTTATTACCTTGCAAAATGATGCAAGAAAGGTTGGTTTCCTGTTGGATTTTTGGAAAATATTCAGTTTATAGAATGGCATGTGTTCATTCTAGAAAAATTTGAACAAAAAATTAACTTTGCATGTCTGTGTATTTGTATGTGTATTCATACATGTGTGTATGGGTTCATACATGTGTGCAAATGAGTATGGAGCCCAAGAAATAATATGGGATTCTCCTCTGTATGCTGTGAATACCATTGGTTAATAAAGAAACTGGCTTGGTCTGATAGAATAGAACAGAGCTAGGTGGGGAAAACTAAACTGAATGCTGGAAGAAAGAAAAGAGGAGTTAGTGAGAAGCCATGTGGCCCCTTCGGACACAAATGCCAAAACTTCACCTGGTAAGCCACATGGCAATACACTTATTAATAGAAATGGGTTAAATTGAAATATAAGAGCTAGTCGATAAGAAGTTAGAGCTAATAGGCCAAGCAATGATTTAATTAATACAGTTTCTGTGTGATTATTTCAGGGCTGAGCAGGGCTGAGATCACAAACTAGCAGCCTCTCACAACAAAGAAATATCTTCTTGGATTGTTCTCTAGCTTATTATTTTGAGTCAGCATTAGATGAACCTTGGGCTTACCCATTGGCTAGCATGAATGGCACACATGATTCAGGGATCTCCCTGACTCTCCTCACTATGGTCACAGTATATCTGACTTTTCACATGGGTAACAGAGATCCAGCCTCATCTCATCATATAACAAGCACTTCACTGGCTAACCTGTCTCCTCATTTGTAAGAAGGCAACTCTATTCCAGTGGCTACTGAGAGTTTTTTTTTTTAATTTTTTGTCTGTTTATTTTTGTTTGTTTCCCAGTAAGTATGATTAGGATTTGGTAGAAATGCTTTCTAGATATTAGCATTGGGTAATCAGTTCCAATCAGTTACCAATTTAGTAAAAATGTTTCAAAGTTTTCAGGACACTTTTTTTTTTCTGCTTCTTGATGCAGGATTTTACTGTCCTATTGTTTTATGCAAATGGTGAAATTTTAGGCAGGCAAAAGTAATCCTGATCTAGAGGTTTGATATATTAAAGATAAACACAAAACAGGACATTGGCATACTTCTGTCATAATTTCCTAGATGTGAAGTTCTATAAATAAATTTTAATATTTGCAGAGTTTAAAAAACATTTATTTTAACTTTTGTGTTATTGTTTTCATGAGTGCATGTATATGCAGAAATGGATTCTTGTTCCATACAAAGACCATAAAAGGGTGTAAGTTTCCTTGAAATCAAGTTACAGACCCTATGAGTTTCCATGACAAACCTGAGTTCTCTGCAAGATCAGCAAGTCCTCTTAGCCACTGAACCATCTCTCTAGCTCCAACATCAACCTCATCAGTACTTTTTTAGTTAATTTATTTTTCATAATACATGTAGAAAGACAATAAATCTTTCTCATTTGACACTTGGCAAACAAAAATTCTTAAATCTTAGTTCATATTACACAGGTAGCAACTGTATTTGTCCTTACATGTGTCGGGAGTCAAAATACTCATTAGTTAGTGCATTCTAGTCTTTTACAAGCTTGGCGTTTAGTTTATAAACACTCTGATTGATCTGAGAAGTTTCACGGTAGCCAAATAGCAAAGGGGGCAGGCAGGAGTACAAGGGGCTGGAGTATAAAAAGTTAAGATGTACACCTTGAGAGCTTTACTAAGGCATAGTTAGGAACAAGCGCAGTAACCCCTGTACTTCTGTATGTATGTATATATGTCAGTGGTCATGGAGTGGAGCAGATCTGACCTTGTGTGAGAAGCTTGGTAAAAATCTCATATTGACAAACAATGTAGGCCAGCAATTATTTTGCAATGACCTTTCTGTGTAATTGAAATCTCCTGTGCAACTCTGGTCTATAAAGAAGACTCTGGCGGCATGAATATGGCATTAGCTACAGGGTCACAAACCTTTAGTATACTTGTTTTCTTGCTTATGCATTCATGGCTCTTGTATGTCACAGCACAGAGAAAGGAATTCATACATATGCAGTGGTGGATATGAACTCCTGACCAGAGGTGCAACTGATGGCTGAAGGTTCAATGAAAGGCAGAGTTTTGCAAGACAGTGATCTCACAAATCACCTCAGACTGTCTCCAAGGTTCTTGAATTGATTAAGAGGACAGGGATGCTCAAGGTAAGAATTCCATGGACTCAAATTAATACCTAGCCTGAAAGTATAGAGAGGGTCTTAATACAAATGAGAGGAATTCTTATATCCAGGAGTCATATCACTCAACAATGTAACTCTTCTATCAACTTGGCTTGTTAGAGGACCAAGAATAAGAAGGGACTAGAGAGATATCTTAATTGGTAAAATATATGCTGTGTTATCATGAAGACCAGAATTAAATTTCCAACACTAACATAAAAAGCTAGATGTGGTCATGGGCTTGAAATCCAGTGCTGGGGGTGAAGAACAGGAGGCTCTCTTGCCCAGTTAGTCTAGATGAATTAGTGAACTTCAGATTTAGTGAGAGACACTGTCTCAAATACTAAGGTGGAAATGATAGCGAAAGAGACCCATTTTTGACCTCTGGCCTTCACATCTGGACACATGCATACACACACACAAAAGTCAGGGTCAGGATTTCTTGTTCAGGAAGGGATATGGACTCAGACTTTAGGAGAGAGAATACTCAGCGTGTGGTGGGAACTTTGGCATCAATAGTGCATTGCCTCTACATACATCAACCTCTTTTGTACCTCAAATAAAGGATAGATGTGTCTCCTCTCTACCCTACTGAATTATTCCTTCCAAGCCTATCTTCCTGATGGATGTGATCTATGCATATAAAAAGAGAAATAGAGGAGAAAGAGAGTAAGGCAAAAATTTCAAAAGTGTAGGGTGAAGGGGAAAATATTTGTATTAAGATTTACATTTCTTCTTTGGGTAAGGAGAAGGATTCAGGGAAAAAGATGAAAGCCCAAAGTGGGTATGTTCAGTATCTTGATAATCTTTTATTTCGGTAATTGACCATATTTTCTATCACTCTGATGGATAGTGAATGTGTGAACTGTACCAAACAGAAATGTCCCGTTTCTAAGGAAAACTTGATCATTGGGAAACTACAGGTTAGCATCAAGCTAACATAGGCTGTCCTTCTGATTGCACTTCAATCTCACCCTAAAGACATGATGCTGTTTCTTAGGAAGCCTAAGATCACATGATCCAAAAAGAGTGACTTCCTGGGGTCATAGTTGGGAGAGCCTGGAAGGACATTGGAGACAATCTAGTCATAACAGTCTAGTTCTAGGTGTGTGTGTGTGTGTATGTGTGTGTGTGTGTGTGTGTGGTGTGTGTGTGTGTGTGTGGTGTGTGTGTGTGTGGTGCACATATGTGTGTGTGCGCAAGCATTCATAGATGATAGAGATAGATGAATAGATAGATGACAGATGATAAATAGACAGAAAGAAACATGTGATAGATAAAAAGACAGAATATATTCTATCTAAATCAGACTATGAAAGTAAAAACAAGACCAAAGACTGGGAGGAAGATAACTCAGGAGAGCAGTTAGACTTGAAGTTTCTGAGGGAATGCTTGAGGTGCTCCAGTCCAGCAGATGGGTAATGGGGGTCTTTGACAAAAGGTGTGAACTGAGCCCCAGTGACTCTGTCTGTGGCACAGAGCTTGCTTACCTCTTTTTCAGGCTATCTCCTCCTCTGTACCTCACCTAGTTGGCATTTTCAGGAAAGTTTATTTTACCCTAAATTGAGACTGCAATATGTAGATGAAGAAATAGGAATGCGAGCATGGATTTTCAATTTTCCAAAGTTGAAAAGTTAACTAGGAGACAGAGGAACAGCTGTCTTCCATGGTCCCTGGAAAGGGAGTCTCTGGCACTGATTTGACTTGTCCTATCCAGAGTTTACCAACACCTATAGTTCTTGAAATCTTGTTTTTGATGCCCTTATTTGAACTACCTGGAGGCAAACATCAACTACTTACAGTTCTTTATGTCCTGTTATTGAAAATATTGTCCAGTCTCTCTCAACTCTATCTTCCTGTCTAACAGACGCAGTCATAGCAATTCCATGCCAAGGTGATTAGAAACTAGATTTTTATAGTATCTACTAGTTGGAAAATATAAAAACTAGTTTACAAGGAAATTACTGAGCCATGTAGTAAAACCTGCTTGTCAACAATGATGTATCTGTGCTAGTGTGCCTTCATAAATTATTATTTTAAATTTTTTGGTCTTTGGTAAAATTAATTTAATCTGTTCATCATGAAACAAGAAAAAAAATTCCCTGTGAGCACCAACTTAGTTCTTCTCATAGCCTCCTTAGCATCAACAATCCAGCTGCCACAGGGATCATAAGGTCCCTTCTGCAGATTTTCAGTCTTCCAGGTAAAAAAATAATTAAAATATGGATTCAGATGGACGTTTGAGACCAGCTAACCCAGGATGTGACCAGCACCCAGCTTTCTCAGGTGCCCCCAAGACAGTGCACAAAATAAGCAGGAAGCAGTCTTGAAACTCTGCTGTTCCAATTCCTTTAACCTGTTGTGCCTGACCTCTATAAGAAAGACATGGGCATGTTATGATCTGATGGCCTGGTCTGTCACTTGTGTACCCTGTCCCTTTAAGAGACAAGTCCAGCCCACTGCCACCACCCCTTCTGCCTTTGCTAGCTGGTCTTCCTCCTGTGAGCTCTCTGTCTCTGACCCTCCGAAGAGTGGTTGCTGCCACTCCTCCCCCCACCTCTCTCCCTCTCTCTCTTTCTCTCTATCTCCCCTTCCCTTCCATACCCCACTGAATAAACTATACCCAAACTTTCTATGCATGGCGTGTTTATCCATCTCTGTCTCTCACCCACTAGCGCTGGCTGCGGGTCTCAAGTCTCTGATCACCTGCCACTGCAGCTCCTCCTGGGACTGGCTTTCCCCGACCTGGGACTGGCTTCTTCTCGTGGCCCACCACCACCTCTTGTGCAACTACAGTTAGCCCTACAGCTACGGCTATGGTTATGGAGTTGGTCCCATCCTCACCAGTCCTTTTCCCTTAGAGGATGTGCAGTGCTTTGCACAGAAAGCTTGAGAGCTACCCCTAGCAGCCAGAGGCTTCAGATTTAAGCACAGACATACTGGCTACAACAATGAAAACGAGAAGTAAGTGTAAGAATAGGTACAGGCAACAAACAAGTCATGAATAGGATTAAATGTTTGCAGGTGAAGGAGACGGGAATGCAGCACTGGGGGAAAGCTGGGAAGCAGTAGGTTTTCACCCGACAGGGAGAGAGGGTGATGTTTCTCTGTTGAAGGCTGTGGTGAAGAGTTCAGTCCATGGGGCAGGCCTATGGGAGTGTTCATCACCCCCACATAATGCATAGCCAGCCCATGGGACCTATGGGAGAAAATCCTACCATTATGTACTGCATCCACAGCACAGCACAGAGGAACCTTGCTTTATAAACTTATGAAGTTTTTAGGATTATGGTTAAAACATTGTACTTATTTTTATAACTTAAATTTAGAAAATTTGCTTTCAAAGTGAGCATTGGGTCTTGTTCAAGAGGATCTTGGTTCTATTCCTAGTACCCACATGACAGCTTCCAACTATCAGTATATCAAGTTCCAGGGGAAGTGACCCTCCTCTATCCTCTGCGACACTAGATACAGATATGTACACAGATACACACTTTACACAGAACACCCATACACATAAGCAAACAAATAAAGATTTAAAAATTCTTCACTCTCTGTCTCTGTGTGTATCTGTATTGTGCATGTGTGTTTGTGTTTAAGTATGTATACATGCATATATATTTTGAAGCAAGTGTGCTCCTCTGTGGTTGTATGCACACACACATAGGTGCCATGGTACACATGTGAAGACCAGAGTAACACTTTCTATAGTGGATTCTCTCCATCCATCTTTTGCTGTTCCTCATGCTCCCAGTTACCTGTCCACAAGCTTACAGACTCTCTCTCTCTCTCTCTCTCTCTCTCTCTCTCTCTCTCTCTCTCTCTCTCTGTCTCTCTCTGTCTCTCTCCTTTCTTTATCTCTCTCATTTCCATACCAGACACTGGGGGCATAGATACATGCCACCACATCTAGCTAGCTCAAACTCAGGCTGTCAGTTTGTGCTAAAAGCACTCTAATCTGTTGAACAATTTGCTGGCTGTAAACTTGTTTTTCTACTGAAGGTTAGTGAGGTCCGTTCAAGCACCTGTGTAGACATGTAATAAATCAAAAACTCTAACATAGTATAACCTCCTGGGCAAAAATAAATATGCTCTAAATGGATCCTTGAACCCCTCTTTTGGCTATCAAGTTATAGAAAAATAAACTTCACAAAACTGAAATTTCCCCAGGAGTCTCATGTTCAGAAAAGTAAAAGACTGAAGCTGAGTACCAGATAGAGGAAGAACTTGTCTTCTGGAAAGAGATTCCTCACAGTTAGGAAAACTTGTCAGAACACCAGGCCAGAGCAACTGGAAATAGATAAAGAGGATATGTGGCACTTTGACAAGAGTTGATTAGCTAAATGCAGTTCCAGCCATCTATTTAAACCCAGGACTCATATTAGGACCCCAAAGATGAGCTTGGGAGGTTGATGGACCTCTTCATTTCTCTTCTAAATGTGGCTCTTCTTATCTGCTCTTAACGATTGTGTGTCTCTTTAACTAGCCTATTATGAATGGTTGCCAAGCCTGGTTTATTTGAACTGCCAGGATTCAGGCTGTGACCCTGATAGTTCTGATCACATACTCTTATCTCTGAGGGATAATCCTGTGCTTTCAGAGAGCAAGTCCCTAACAATAATATGTAAGAAGAAGAAATTTACTAGACTAGTTAAAAGAGAAAATTCTTGAGGCAGATTCTTTTACATCAACTACTGGGTTTATTAATGGTGTCTTACAGGGCCTGAAGCAAATTTTCCGTGTTTAGAATGAGCATTATACAAATATTTATCTCCTACGATTGTGACAATAATTAAGTGAGATGCCAAAGGAACTGCAACAGGGACTGACATACAATTTGCACAATGGAGAAAGCTTGTGTGGAAAGAAGTTTGCATGAAAGATTAAAAAAAAACAGATATCAGTGGAAATTTTGTTCTATAAATGTTATGCAACTTTGGGTTTACAGCATTGTATTGACTAGATGTATATTATCTCGACCACAAGCTAGAGTCATTTGAGGAGAGAGATCCCCAGTTGAGAAAATGCCTGTGTAAGATTTGTCTGTAGACAAGTGTCTACAATACTTCTGCTATTGATGATGGATGTGGCTGAATCCAGCTCACTTGGGGGCAGGGCTGTGCCTTCGTAGGTGAATGGTATAAAAAAATAGGCTGAGCAAGCCATGGGGAGCAAGCCAATAAGCAACAGTCCTCCATGGTCTCTGAATTATTGCCAGCCTTGAGGTTCTGGGCTTAAATTCCATCCTTGACTTCCCTCAGTGAGGGAAATAAGCAGTTTCCTCCTCAAATTGCTCTTTGTCATGGTGTTTCATCACTGTCATAAAAACCCTAGTAAAAACATGTATGTGTGTGTGTGTGTGTGTGTGTGTGTGTGTGTGTGTGTGTGTAGACTTGGGGAGGCTGGAAGAGAGAATAAGATCCCATGGAGCTGGTAGTAGTTGTGAAGTAGTTGTGAGTAAACTGTGGGACTTGTGTACTAAGAGCGAACTCAGGACTTGTGGAAGAGCAGTGAGTACACTTAACTGCAGAGTCATTTCTCCAACCCCTAATGTGTAATGTTTGAAAGCCAAAGCCCAGTTCTACTTTTTTTTTTTTAAAGAATATGCATGAGACGAATAAGATCTAGAAGGTTCCTTCCTCATGGTAGAAATTCCATAGAGGAAAGATACTTTCAAAACTGTAGATGTTACATCTCTCTCCTTTTTAGTTTTTGCTTCAGTGTTTTGTTTTCATCCCTTCCTGCTGAGTTGTGAGCTCACCACCTGCCTAGCATCACTATTCATTATATCTTGCCTTTAACCCAGAATTCTTTGAACCCATTCAATTCTTGTTCTCATCCCATTGCGCCATCTACAATCTCCTTTTTAGTTCTTTAAATGAGTTTCTTCAGCCTTCCACACACCAGGAAGGTGATTAAAATCTCCTTTTTTAAAAATCATACTCCTTTAAATGCCTATGAGGATTGGCCCCTGGCAAAGCATTACCTCAAAGAAATGTAAATTACAAGCCACAGGGGTTTGTGGGGAGGATAAAGGAAGTAAGCCTGTGATACCTCTAAGAGAATAAGGATTCCGTTGAAAGATTTTGATAGCTAAAGCAAGTGTTTCCATAAAAGAAAAAAAGCATATGAAAAGTGTTAAGGAGGCCTAAAGGAGTTCCTCTGGATAAACTGGGAATAAAAAGCATCAGAGGATGGGCAGGAGAGATGGTTCAGTGGTTAAGACTACATGTTGTTTTTTTTCTGAGGAACCAAGTTTGGTTCCCAGCACCTATATAATGGATCACAACCATCTGTATCTCCAATAGTAGAGATACCACACACCTTCTGAACTATAAGAGCCCCAAGCATGCACATGGTGCACTTACAAACTTGCTGGCAATACATTAATACACACAAAATCAATCAATCAATCAATCATCAATCAATCAATCAATCCTTAAAACAATTATTTAAAACCAAAAGACACAAATGTGATTATATACAACAATAGTCCCAACACTCTGGGAGACTGCAATAGGATCTTCAGTTTGAGGCCAACTTGAGTTACAGAGTGAGACCCTGTCTCAATAAAGAGGGGGAGGCTGGGTAAGAGTCTAAGTGAATGAAGCACTTGTCTTGAAGTCTGAGTTAGGATCTCAAGAAGCTATGTAAATCTGGTGCAACAGTACATCTAAAATCCCAGTATTCTACAGGGAGATAGAAGACAAAGACAGGAAGATCCCCAGAAGACAGTGGGTCAGCTAGCTTGGTATACAAATGGGCAAATAAGAAACCCTATCACAGACAAGGAGTAAATTGAGGGCTAGCATTGAATTTGGTCTCTGAAATGCACACATATGCCAGAATGGCACAAAGCTGTGACACACACACACACACAGAGAGAGAGAGAGAGAGAGAGAGAGAGAGAGAGAGAGAGAGAGAAGAACAGACCAAACACAACTATTGGATACCATAGTTAGGAGTCTAGTTGCTTATGTGGGGATAGCTAGGATGTTAAATGAAGAGAAATATCTGCGTGTGAGAAATGGCAAGAGTAAGTTAGTAGTGTTCTTGATTAGAGAGTTTGTGTTCAGAGTGATAACCACATGTGTCTCAAACTTATTTTGCTGTTTTGTGTTTTGAGATAGGATTTTACTACACAAACAAAGCTGGCCTCAAACTTGAACTCTCCTGCCCAAGTCCCAAATATTGGGATAAAGAGGCATGCACCAGCATGTTCAGATTTGGGACTTGTGATACCCGCAGAAGGGCAGATTACTGTGGAGTAAGTAACAGCCTTTCTCATGCCAGGATGTGGGTTACAGTATTAATAACCTAGAACGGATACTGTGATTCAATTTCATGTGACAACCTGTGACCCAAATCACGCCTGGACACCTGACCTCAATAAGTCAATTATAAAACCTAAATTAAAGGAGAGGAATTCAATACGGCCACATTAAGAAGAAAGACAAAGAGAACAGTGAACCCTGGGAGTCCGTCTTTCAAGGGCCTGAAGTGAAATTGGTGTCTCACATCTAAGCAGTCCCTCTCATGTCGTGGTTGACCCATTATTGTCTGGGCTCCAGCTTCGTCCTGTCTGGTGGTGTGGCAAGTTGTTAGAACTGTGTGAAGCCCCTTTCTAGAAGACATGTTCCCCAGCTATTTGGGGTGCTTCCTTTTCTCAATTTGAGACTGCTGGGGGAAATTCCTGTTTCTTAATGGTCCTCAAGGATTAACAGTTAGAGACTTGGTCTGGACAGTTACATCTGAAAGTGTCAACTGAGAATAAACACTTTAGAATGCAAGCACAGTAAGTAAATGCCCAGAGAATCATACCCCAAGAGGATGAAGGTTATTTCCTCTGGGGGACCCCTGTGTGAGCAGGTAAAAAGGGGGGCGAGCATTATCTTCTTAGTGAATATATTTACATTTATGTTATTTGTTTTTAGTGTGTGTGTGTGTTAGTGTGTGTGTGTGTGTGTGTGTGTGTGTGTAATGAATACATGAGTGCATATACTCACAGAAACCAGAATAGAACATCTGAAGGTGTAAGTCAAAAACAATGCCACACCAGTTTGGAATTATGATTAATAGGGTGGTATTTATTTAAAGGGGAAAAAAACTTACAGATCACCGTCCCAGCTGTGTAACTAGGAAGGGAGTCTAATAATCTGGAGCCAGAGCTAGGGTGGATGTGAGCTGCCCATTGTGGATACTGGGAACTGAGCTCAGGTCCTCTACAAGAGCAGCACACACTCAACTCTGAGCCATTATAAAATAGTCATAAGAAATGCCCTGAAACCCAGAGTCAAACTGGTCCCCTTTCATTATGGGGAGCCAGTTTAGCATATCGTAATGTTCTCTGGATGAGTATTTGAAGTAACCCCTAACTACATCTAACTCAAGTCTAGTTCAAAAGAATGGAACTTTGCTCTTCCTGTATCAGAAAGAGAAGCTGTGAGTCATGAGGGTGGCAGTAAACCGCATG